CAGGAAACCCTATACCACTTCAGACAAGTTGCTGTCCACCCTCTTCTTAAAAACCTGCAGTGTTGGAGCATTCACAGCTTCTGGAAGCAATCTAGAATCCTTCCACTGGTTAATTGTTCTAACTGTCAGGAAGTTTCTCCTTAGTTCTAGGTTGCTTCTCTCCTTGCTTAGTTTCCACCCGTTGCTTCTTGTCCTGCCTTCAGGTGCCTTGGAAAATAGCTTGGCTCCCTCTTCTTTGTGGCAGCCCCTGAGATATTGGAATACTGCTATCATGTCCCCCCTCGTCCTTCTCTTCATCAAACTAGACATACCCAATTCCAGCAACCGTTCCTTATATGCTTTAGCCTCCAGTCCCCTAATCATCTTTGTTTATCAAATTTATACACCAGCCATCTCACTGCCTTACCACAGTTTGCTCAGTGGCCGTTCAAATGGCACTGAAAAAAGTGATTTATGACTGTTTTTCACACTTACGACTATTGCAACATCCTTATGCTCATGCGATCAAAATTCAGATGCTTGGCAACTATTTCATTTTTATAACGGTTACAGTGTCCTGGGGTCATGTGATCCCCTTTTGTGACCTTCCGACAAGCAAAGACAATGGGGAAGTGATTCACTTAACAACTGTGGGCAGAAAGGTCTTAAAATGAGGCAAAACTAACTTAGCAAATATCTCCCTTAGCAAATAAAATTGTGGTTGTGGTTGCAAGTTGAGGATTACCTATATTTAAGTGACTCTGAGCAATTTACAAATAAAAAACATAAAATCGACACAAAAGATATTCTGATATCGTTGTTTCTTCTACCAGATGCCTATGAATGTTGGCATCTGGTTTAAAGGAATAATTTACCAAGTTTCTGTTAATGATGTTAACAGATTAATGATGTTATTGATTTTTCCTGGTGGCTTTGCTTTTTATAAGCTTCTATTTCCACAGAGCTTTGGGCATAATTTTTTCCCTTTTCTCCCCATTTAGTTGGGATGACTCCAAAATACCAACCATTTTCAAGGCTAATCACTGGCATACCACATTCCCTCAAAACTAGGCAAAAATTAGGTAGAAATATGAAGAAACCTCTGTTGTCCGAAAATTGGGTCTTAGCCTCGTGTCGAAACCAATTGATCATCAAACTCAAGATATGGAAAAAGACTTTTATTTTGGTACCAAGATGAAAGTAGCCTTGGCTTTGAAAGCTACCAAGGCCCTGATTACAGTTTAACAGCAATTTTTATAATCAAAAGTGATTCGCATACACCCCTTTGCCCTCCCCTAATAATACATGCATAACATATAATATTGATTGGTTACCTGGATTTCAGCCCCCTCAAGCTTTCTCGCTTGCTATGCCAAATAGCTAAATGTCACACCACCTATTGCCCACCTCAGGTCACAGGTATCTTGCAAAGCTTCTAGTTTCCTGTGCCAGCTATGTGGTTTTGGGTTTTCTTGCAATTGAGCTAGCTATTCATGGACCCAACATCCTGGCTAAGTGGTTGAACCTGTGAATCAGTCTTAATAATAAGTAATAATAATAAAGTTGGAAGGGACCTTGGAGGTCATCTAGTCTAACCCCCTGCTCAGGCAGAAAACCCTATACCATTTCAGACAAATGGCTGTCCAGTCTCTTCTTTAAAACTTCCAGTGTTGGAGCATTCTCAACTTCTGGAGGCAGGTTGTTCCACTTGTTAATTGTTCTAACTGTCAGGAAGTTTCTTGCTTCATTGTCCCTGAACCCCCCCCCCACACACACAGACGCGCAGCCCCCCTTGCAATGTTATCAAGTAGCAAGCTTGTGCTGCAAATCTCTTAGTGAGCAGAAGAAAAAAGTTGTTAAAGAAAAAGTTGTTTAAGAGCAGGGCTTTTTTTTGTCATAGAATGCCCAGAATGAAGTTTCAGCCACCTTTTTTGGATGGAACCTTGTAGAGTAGGCAAGGCGGGTTGTATGACATGTGTGAGTTTCGGCACCTTTTTTTTTTTTTTTTTTTGCAAAAAAAGCACTGTTTAAGAGTAAATGTTTCTCTCAGAATTCATCTTCTTCGCTGTCATATTCATCACACCCACACCGGAATCCTATCGCCACTTATCGCCCATCTTCTGGGCCTCATCTGCATGTATATTCTTTCATCTGACCCTTCTTACAATCCACCCCTCTCCATTGCTCCCTCCTGCCAAAATCCCACTGAACCTTGACACTCATATAGCACCAAAACTTTATGAATGGAGAAGAACATTTCTATGGTGAGCCCAGCCACCGAATTCCTTTGATGTCTGAGGTGGATATTTGGGGGTTTCCCAGAAATAGAGTCAGGGGCCACTTGTGGGCTGAGCTTGCCCCATGCTTTCGTGGCGCCAAAATGTTTCAAACTGCAAACAGAATCTTTAGAAAATAAGTAACCTAGCTGAGGAATTGTGGGCTCATGAAAAAGGGCCTTCAGCTCTTTTGGAATCCTGAGCCAGGCCTGGACTAAATTTTCCCCCTTTTATTGGCTGTGACCTCAGTCACCTGATCCTTCTGCTCTTCCAGGTGTTGCCAACGTGGGAAGGAAGACCGAGCTGCTAGACAAAGTCCTCCTCTCCTCCGAATTAGAAGCAAGAACTCACCTGGTGAAATGCATCAAAAAATAGGGGTGGTGGTGGGTGTAGTGACTGTTTATTTTCTGTCTGCTGGGTTTGGGGAGCTTTCAATGACAATAAAGTCAGAGTAGCATCCGTTCTTGTCCTTCTCTGATTTTCAAGGCATAAAAATGATCAAGCCTCAGTTGTGTCAAATGCCTACATGACCAGCCTTCTCTGTCTTGTAAGCCTAGCATCAGCCTTGGGGTTTATGAAGACAGCAGCGCCCCCTATGGGACAGTGAAAATAATAATAATAATAATAATAATAATAATAATAATAATAATAATAATAATAATAATATGATATTAATAATAATATTAATAATAATATTAATAATAATAATATGATATTAATAATAATATTAATAATAATAACTAATGATAATAATAATAAGAAGAAGATTGCACAGACTGACAACAAGCAGTGGCATGACAAAGTAGCAACAATGGTGCATTGGAAGATCTGCAAAAAATATCATTTGCCTGTAAGCAAAAACTGGTGGGATCATAAATAGAGAAAGTCATAGAAAATGATAAAATTAAACTGCTCTGGGACTTCAGAATTCAAACAGACAAGCACCTGCAACATAACACCCCAGACTTAACAATTGTCGATAAGAAAGACAAAAAAGTCTGGATAGTGGATGTGGCAGTGCTTGGAGACAGCAGAATAGACGAGAAAGAACTGGAGAAGATAACAAAATACAAAGATCCACAAATAGAAATAGAAAGACTGTGGCAAAAGGAAGCAAGGGTAGTACCAATAGTAATAGGCTCCTTGGGTGCAATCCCAAAACAACTGGAGCACCACTTGAACACCATTGGCATTGACAAATTCACTATTAGTCAATTGCAAAAGGCGGCCTTACTAGGAACTGCTTCCATCCTGTGACAATATCTGTAATATTGTAAGGACTCGATAGGTAGAAAAAATGCCAAATCCAGTCTGAACATCTGGCTGACTGTGCGATGATCCATAATAATAATAATAATAATAATAATAATAATAATAATAATAATAATAATAATAATAATAATAATAATGTTGGAAGGGAACTTGGAGGTCTTTTAGTCCAACCCCCTGCTCAGGCAGGAAACCCTATCCCATTTCGGACAAATGGCTGTCCAGTCTCTTCTTAAAAACTTAAGCTCTCACTGTTTCTCACCTGGGTTGCAGCAGCTATTGCCATTTCCAGCAGAATACAGATAACCCTCAACTTACAACCATCCATTTAGTGACCGAAGTGAAAAATGTGACCTATGACCATTTTTTCACACCTATGACCCCTGCAACATTCCCATGGCCAGTGTTCAAAATCTGAGCACTTGGCAACGGTTTTGTACTTATGGTGGTCATATGGTCACCTTTTTGCCACCTTCTGACAGGCCAAGTCAATGGGGAAGCCAGATTCCCTTAACAACCATGTGACTAACTTCACAACTGCAGGGATTCACTTAAGAATGGGGGCAAGAAAAGTCGTAAAATGGGGCAAAGCTCACTTAACAATTGTCTCGCCTGGCCACGGACATTTTGGACTCAGTTGTGGTTGTAAATGGAGGACTACTTCTACAACATTATAAAAAGTTAAAAAGGGAGCTACACCAACCTGTGTCAATTATCTGCTCTACTTTTTGGCTTTGAAAAGCTTTTCAAAGGAGTTCTTCTAAGCATTTGGTTCAGAAAATGACAAAGAGTTGTTAAGAAGGAAGACTTCTAGCTTTGGAAAAGCCACACTAGCAAGAGAGTTCCAGGTCTCAATTACGGTCATTAATTGGGGACTACCTGTGTTTAAACGCTCTTTGATGTTTCTCTACTGGGTACTTTTTTCACAAATAACCCATAGTTACGGGTGGAAAGCTTTTGAATCCTGTTGCTCTTATGTTTCACCCCATTTTTTTTCAATCCCCACCCAAAGGATAACTGGGAACACTGAGAAGCAAAATAACCAGAGAGGCAAATTATCTCCAGTTCCACAAAAGTATTTTTGGACTTGGACCTGTTCTCACATGTCGGAACAGATAATCAAAACTCTGGGAAACAGTCTGAATGATATACTAGACTGGGAAGGGTTAGTTTAATTTTAAACTAAACAGAGTCCATTTCATACTAAGCCTAATTCTTTTGGGGTTAATTGATTGAGTCAACTGACACAATTTTCTTCTGCTTCTAATTCAGTTAAGACTGGTGAGTTCCCCAAATCTTTGATGGATGGCTTTTTGCCCAATTGTTTTGGAAAGAAAGATTTGGCTTTCAGATTAATCCATAGCAGCACTTTAATCCATAAAGCCCTTTTAATTCATTGGATTGTAGATAGGTTAAGTAGATAATAAATTCACACTGAGGCACAACTGTTCTGCAAGGCACATTGGTTAAGTCGTGTTTCTTTATTTGCAAGAAGAAGCTTCTGTACAGTCAGGACCAGCGAAATGTTCAATACCAAGTAAAAAGAATAATTTGAGTCAGCAATGATATCCTTGATGAAAAGTCTGGGCGGAGATCATCTGGCATGGTAGTAGGTTTTTAGTACTATAAAGAAGAAAATAAAACACCCTTAAGAGTTTGAATATCATGAGACTCTCAATAAGCATTCATTACCTTTATCAATAAGATCTATACACTATGATTAATTTCTCATTTATAGAGAAGGAAGCACTTGGTAACATCTGAAGTATCCTACAGATAAAATTTACAACATTGTGATTGTGCATAGTATATAGCTTGAAGTTCTTGATGCTGGAGACAAATGGTTCTATATCTGATTGGGAACTTCCCACTAGACGTAGAATTTTAAATCAGGTAGAAACTGGTCGCTTTCAACAAGGAAGTTGTTATGCTGCTCCCCAGCCCTGGTTTCATAACAAAATTGACTTTATTTTATGCAAAATCAGCTGCCCAATTCATGATTGATCCCACGACAGAAAAGGATTTTGTCCAGAGTTGGAGACTGGGATCTTACCAGTAGGAAGCTACATAACAGAATTAAGTCTTTAACAGAAAGGTTCAGAATTATAGGCAAACTTACCCAGATTTCGGGTCCATTAGCACTGTTCTGCATGCAAAAATAAATGCAGAAAAGAAGAAAAAAATCAGGACATTGTTTCCACACTAACATGTTGATTCAAAAACCCTATTCTATCCAGGCTGCAGTACAGACCCCTTGAGAAGGATAAAAGAACTCATTCTGAATTTACACAATATGCTAGACCAGGCCAAAATGAGATGAACTATAACTTTGTATGCTGTGAGAAAGGCATCCATAGTCTTATTCTGAGTCCAAATGAGTCTGTCATGCTAATACAGGTAGTCCTCATTGAACAACTTCGTCAACAACCATCCAAAGTTACAAAGGCACTGAACAAAGGGGAATTTACAACTGTTCCCCATTGCTGTGGCTGTTATAGCATCCTCATAGTCACGTGATCACAATTTGGGAGCTTGGCAACCAGCTCATTTCACAATCATGGGTTACCATTTGTGACCTTCATAGCTGGCTTCTGACAAGCAAAGTCAATGGGAAAGCCAGCAAGTGGTCACAAATGGTGATCACATGATGTTGCATTTAATGACAGTGTTGTTGTTGTTAATGGCGAAGTCATGTCCGACCCATCGCGACCCCATGGACAACGTTCCTCCAGGTCTTCCTGTCCTCTACCATCTTCTGGAGTCCATTTAAATTTACACCTACTGCTTCAGTGACTCCATCCAGCCATCTCATTCTCTGTCATCCCCTTCTTCTATTGCCCTCAATCTTTCCCAGCATTAGGCTCTTCTCCAGTGAGTCCTTCCTTCTCATTAGGTGGCCAAAGTACTTGAGTTTCAACTTCAGGATCTGGCCTTCTAAAGAGCAGTCGGGGTTGATCTCTTCTAGGACTGACCGGTTTGAACGCCTTGCAGTCCAAGGGACTCGCAGGAGTCTTCTCCAGCACCATAGTTCAAAGGCCTCAATTCTTTGGCGCTCAGCCTTTCTTATGGTCCAACTTTCACAGCCATACATTGCAACTGGGAAAACCATGGCCTGGACTATACGCACTTTTGTTGGCAGGGTGATGTCTCTGCTTTTTAGAATGCTGTCTAGATTTGCCATAGCTTTCCTCCCCAGGAGCAAGCGTCTTTTAATTTCTTGGCTGCAGTCCCCATCTGAGGTGATCTTTGAGCCCAGAAAAATAAAATCTGTCACTACCTCCATTTCTTCCCCATCTATTTGCCAGGAATTGAGAGGGCCGGATGCCATGATTTTGGTTTTCTTAATGTTGAGTTTCAAGCCAACTTTTGCACTCTCCTTCTTCACCCGCATCAAGAGGCTCTTTAGTTCCTCTTCACTTTCTGCCATTAGAGTGGTATCATCTGCATATCTTAGGTTGTTGATATTTCTCCCGGCAATCTTAATTCCAACTTTTGATTCATCTAGCCCTGCCTTTCTCATGATGTGCTCTGCATATAAGTTAAATAGGCAGGGCGACAGTATACAGCCTTGCCGGACTCCTTTTCCAATTTTGAACCAATCAGTGGTTCCGTGTCCAGTTCTCACTGTTGCTTCTTGACCCGCATATAAGTTTCTCAAGAGACAAATGAGATGGTCTGGTACTCCCATCTCTTTAAGAACTTGCCACAATTTGTTGTGATCCACACAATCAAAGGCTTTTGCATAGTCAATGAAGCAGAAGTAGATGTTTTTCTGGAACTCCCTAGCTTTCTCCATGATCCAGCGTATGTTGGCAATTTGATCTCTAGTTCCTCTGCCTCTTCGAAATCCTGCCTGTACTTCTGGTAGTTCTCGATCCACATACTGCTGGAGTCTAGCTTGTAGGATTTTAAGCATAACTTTACTAGCATGTGAAATGAGTGCAATGGTGCGATAGTTTGAACATTCTTTGGCATTGCCTTTCTTTGGAATTGGAATGTAAACTGACCTTTTCCAATCCTGTGGCCACTGTTGAGTTTTCCAAATTTGCTGTCAAATTGAGTGTAGCGCTTTTACCGCATTGTCATTTAAGATTTTGAATAGCTCAGCTGGAATACTGTAACCTCCACTAGCTTTGTTGTTGCTCAGATTTTCTAAGGCCCATTTTACTTCACATTCTAGGATGTCTGGTTCGAGGTCAATGACTATCTCATTGTGGTTATCTGGGATGTTAAGCTCATTCTTGTATAGTTCTTTTGTGTAGTTTTGCCATCTCTTCTTAATCTCTTCTGCCTCTGTTAGGTCTCTGCCATTTTGGTCCTTTATCATGCCAATCTTTGCATGAAACGTTCCCTTCATATCTCCAATTTTCTTGAAGAGATCTCTGGTCCTCCCTATTCTGTTGTTTTCTTCTATTTCTTTGCACTGTTCATTTAAGAAGGCATTCTTATCTCTTCTAGCTATTCTCTGGAATTCTGCAGTCAGTTGGGTGTATCTTTCTCTTTCTCCTTTGCCTTTCGCTTCCCTTCTTTCCTCAGCTATTTGCAAAGCTTCCTCAGACAGCCATTTTGCTTTCTTGCATTTCTTTTTCTTTGGTATGGTTTTAGTTGCTACCTCTTGTACAATGTTGCGAACTTCCATCCATAGTTCTTCAGGCACTCTGTCTATCAGATCTAATTCCTTAAATCTATTTGTCACCTCTACTGTATATTCATCAGGAATATGATTTAGTTCATACCTGAGTGGCCTATTGCTTTTCCCTACTTTTTTCAATTTAAGCCTAAATTTTGCAATGAGAAGCTCATGATCTGAGCCACAGTCAGCTCCTGGTCTTGTTTTTACTGACTGTATAGAGCTTCTCCATCTTTGGCTGCAGAGCACATAGTCAATCTGATTTCTATGTTGACCATCTGGTGATGTCCTTGTGTAGAGCCGTCTCTTGGGTTGTTGGAAAAGAGTGTTTGTTGTGACCATCGTATTCTCTTGACAAAATTCTATTAGCCTGTGCCCTGCTTCATTTTGTACTCCAAGGCCAAACTTGCCTGTTATTCCGGTTATCTTTTGGCTTCCTACCTTAGCATTCCAATCCCCCATGATGATAAGGACATCATTTTTGGTTGTTAATTCTATAAGGTGCTGTAGGGCTTCATAGAACCGGTCAATTTCATCCTCTTCAGCACCAGTGGTTGGGGCATAGATTTGGACTACTGTGATATTGAATGGTTTGCCTTGGATTCGAATTGAGATCATTCTGTCATTTTGGGGATTGTATCCCAGTATTGCTTTTCCTATTCCTTTATTGACTATGAAGGCTACTCCATTTCTTCTGAGGGATTCTTGCCCACAGTAGTATACCTGATGGACATCTGAGTTAAATTCACCCATTCCTGTCCATTTTAGTTCGCTGATTCCTAAGATGTCGATGTTCAGTCTTGTCATCTCTTTTTTGACTACGTCTAGCTTGCCTGGATTCATGGATCTTACATTCCAGGTTCCTATGGAGAAAAAATCTTTACAGCATCGGACTTTCCTTTCACCACCAGATATATCCACAGCTGAGCGTCCTTTCGGATTTGGCCCAGTCGCTTCATTCTTTCTGGCGCTACTAGTACTAGCCCTCTGCTCTTCCCCAGTAGCATATTGGACACCTTCCGACCTGGGGGGCTCATCTTCCAGCGTCATATCTTTTTGCCTTTTAGTACTGTCCATGGGGTTTTCATGGCAAAGATACTGGAGTGGTTTGCCATTTCCTTCTCCAGTGGATCACATTTTGTCAGAACTCTCTGCTATAACCTGTCCGTCTTGGGTGGCCCTGCACGGCATAGCTTATAGCTTCATTGAGTTACGCAAGCCCCTTCGCCACGACAAGGCAGTAATCCATAAAGGGGATTAGTGTAGGCTTCACTTAATGATGGCAACCAGTACTGCTGCAATGACTGACATAATTCAGCATGATCGCATGAAGTTGCATTTATGACTGTATTGCTTAGCAATGGAGCCACCAGTCCCATTGGTATGGAATGATTGCCTATAATACGATTTATTCTTTGGAAAGAGTGTGTCCTGAGAACATTGTGATTAGTGTTTCTTAATTCAGATTTTATATGCTCTGTAAACCAAGCCATAATTTTCTGCCTGGTATGGGAAAGAAGGAGAAACAGTGGTTAGTGTGCATTTGGAGCATGAAAAAAAAAAGTTTTGGAAATAGTAAAATAAAATTCCAAACAATTATGGTGATGTTAATATGGAGAGGACAGTGGCAAGCTTTTCTTTAAAGTATTAGTCATCCAAAGACCACTGTAGGGTAAAAAAACCTCCAACTCTGTTATTGTTACTGTTACTGTTCTTGTTGATGATGGTGATGATGTTCTTATTATTATTATTAGCCAAGTGACATCACCAGGAGAGGCAGGACTGAAAACAGATAATTAATCAACATGCTAACTGGCCATTATAGTAACAGCATAGAGTATATGTGGAAGAAAACCACTTTGGGAAGTTGTTCTAAATATTTATTCTGAGCTTTTGAAAGATTAGAAGTTCAAAAACATGGCTCATAATCTCTTGTCCTCGTCATTGTCAGCCATTCAGTTGTGTCTGACCCTCAGCCACTGTATGAGTCAGTACTATCCATGCCCCTCCATCTTGCACCATCTCCTTCAGATCCACCATGGTCATCCCTGTGTCATCTTTCATAGTGACTAACCAATGGGTGTGAGGGCAATCCTTATTTTTCCGCCGATCACTCCCAGTATGATTGACCTTTCCATGTGAGTCAGCTCTCACAACAAGACCAAAGTTTAGTGATCTTGGCTTCAAGTGATATTTTTGGTGAGGTCTGTCTAGGACTTCTTTATTTGTTATTTTTGCAGTCCATGGGATGTGTAATAGTTGCCTTCAGCACCACAATTCAAAGGTGTCCAGTTTTAGGATGCCTTTGAACTGTGGTGATTCTGTTCTAGGACTAGATAAAATTATATTGTTTGCAGATCTCAGATATCCACTGGGACATCAGAACAGTACCTCTTAACCATTCACACTACTGACTACAAGGAAGAGCAGGATATAGAGAGACCAATGTTTCTCAATCTTAGCAACTTTAAGACATGCGGACTTCCAGAATTCTCCAGCAAGCCATGCTGAAGGGGGAGTTTGAAGAACTGAAATATATACATTTAAAATTACAAAGGTTGAGAAAGATAGAAATAGAGACTCAGACCTTGTCTGGATCCCCTGTTTATCTCTAACCTAGTATCTTCCTAGCTGCCCTTGTCTCCTAAGCAAACACACATAGGCATGGCTTCTTAAATCTCCTTGCTAGGATGTAGCTTCAGATACTAAGATTTTCTTCCCCCTTCCTATAAATAAACCTTCTTTCCATTCAAATTACAAGACCTGTTTTGGTAGTCTTTGACAGGTTGGATCCTCCCTTCTCTCTAAGAAGACAAAACACATTCTCCATCACTTACGCCATTGTCATTGAAGCTATGGTCGCCAACTTTATTGTTATCAAAGCTTCCGGCATTCTGAAAATGGAGCACAAGAGCATATATTAATGTTTTGTGGTCAGCTGTAGGCTGATTTTGAGGAACATCCTTTTATTTACATATACATTGAGTAGCAAAGAGGAATAGGGCTATTCCATAATACCTTTGAGAACTGCCAAAATATAGATAGCCAGCACAACTCATTTTAGATGCTAACTCTGCCCTTCTTGCCCTCTAAAGAGTAGGCAGTTGAGATGCCAAGAAAAATGTGGACTTCAGTGAGCATCTTGCAGCATCTTGCAGCTTCGAATTCCATCTTGTCCTCTCCTACAATCTTCCCTCCAAAGAAACTTTCACTCAGGAGAAATGAACATGTCATCTCCTACAGTCTCGAAATGTTTACTTTTTTTGGAATTTTAGGGCTGAATGTTGAGTTCTGCTCAAAACTGACATCTATACATTTGTTAATACATACCCCTCCAGAAGGTCCAGAATTATAGCTATTCTGAAACACAAAATGAAAGCAACGCAAATTGAAATTAAGAGCATCCTAAAGATTCAGTCTTATGACCATAAGCATTTGTCCCAATATCCCCCTAATCTTAAAAAGCTACTATTGCTTTGTTCCTTGAATAAAGTTACAGAAACACAACCAAATGGGAAAATATATATTGTAATTTTTAAAATAAAATATAAACAACAAATGAGATTGGCTATTTGGGATAAAATCTAGACCTTTTGTGGTTGATTGAGTTGATTAATACTGTCTTATTATTTACATGACATATATTGCAATATGCAATAGGCAGCCTTACTAGGAACTGCTTCCATCCTGCGACGATATCTGTAATACCATCAAACATCCACATCTGCCTATCCCAGGTCCTGGGTAAGGACTCAATAGGTAGACAAAATGCTGCATCCAGTCTAAACATCTGGCTGACTGTGCAATGAGCCATAATAATAATAATAATAATAATAATAATAATAATAATAATAATAATAATAATAATATGGGAACCACCCCCAGTGAGACACTACCTTGACGTGGTTGTGGGGCTTGTGTACTCTGAGGAAGATGAGAGCTATGCCAGAGATTCAACCATACTGGACAGATCTCATCAGAGGAGTCAGACAAAGGGTGTCTCTCCCATAAAAAATATGGTGAGACGTAAATTGCAGAATGCCATACTGGCTCGGACGTTGCCCGGGTTAACAAGGTCCGTGCTAGATATTGGAGTTCCTGAATATCTGGTGAAAAATAGGTTACAGGACTCAGGACTGTTGGCTGAGCAACCAGGGCCAGCAGCTACAGAACTACTGGAAGAAAAGGTGTTTACCCGTCGCAGATACACAGTGATGGAAAACAAAGAAATAATGATCTGTTACTACAGATCAAGGCCAAGGAAGATCAAGGAAGCACTGGAAATAATAAAGCAACAGATAACAGCTATAGCCAGGGAAATCAGTAGATATGAAGCTCGAATTGCAAACTATAGGCAGAACCTCCAATTTCAATCCAATCAGAAACGTTTCTACTAATCCATCAGTGGAGAAACTGCAAGGAATCAGTCAGTACCTGACAAGGAAGAAACAGTGCAGTTCTGGAAACAGATATGGGATAACCCAAAGAAATACAACAAGGATGCGGCTTGGTTAAAAGAGGTGGATGCAAATAAAACAGAAGTTGAAATGAAAGAACTAGTAATAACAACAAAAATGTAGAAAAAAGAGCAAAGAAAATCAAAAATTGGTCAGCACCAGGTGAAGATGAACTGCATGGGTTTTGGTTGAAACATCTAACTGTTATACACCCACTCATTGCCAAGCAGTTAAACAATATACTACAAGGTGGAGAAATTGAAAAGTGGCTAACAACTGGGAAAACCTACCTAATAATGAAAAATCCAGCAAAAGGGGCAACACCAGGTAACTACAGGCCAATTACCTGCTTACCAACAACTTTCAAATTACTAACTGGTGTGGTAGCTGATGCAGTACAACAGCATCTAGTTGAAACAATCTCTTTCCACCTGAGCAGAAAGGAAACCGCCCCAATAGCAGAGGAACAAAAGATCAACTCCTAATAGACAAAATGATCTTGGAAAACTGCAAGAAAAGGAAGACCAACCTGAATGTGGCATGGATTGACTACAAAAAGGCATTTGACTCTCTGCCACATGACTGGATAATCAAGTGCCTAGAAATAACAGGAGTAAGTAGAAACATCAGAAAATTTGTGCAAAAATCGATGGCACAATGGACGACACAGTTGCAGATCAATGGTGAAAAGCTGGGAGAGGTTAATATCAAGAGAGGAATATTTCAAGGAGATTCATTATCACCATTAATATTTGTTATTGCACTGTTTCCTCTGTCAACAATACTGAATAACTCAGGACATGGTTATCAAACATCAAAAACATCTGCTAGACTATCCCACCTCCTTTACATGGATGATCTGAAGCTGTATGGAAAAACATCATCTGAAATAGAATCGCTGCTCAACACTGTCCGTATATATAGCCAAGATATGTAATGGAGTTTGGCTTGGACAAATGTGCCACACTTACTATCAAACAAGGAAAAATAATGAAAACTGAAGGAATCAAGATGCCCCACGAAAATAACATTAAGAGTCTGGATGAGGAAGAGTACTACAAATACTTGGGTATCCTTCAAGCTGACAACATCAAGCACACTGAAGTCAAGAAAAAGATTAGAGGGGAATACATCAAGAGAGTGAAGAAGATCATAAAGTCCAAACTCAATGGAGGAAATACCATAAAGGCAATCAATGCCTGTGCAATTCCAGTCATTAGGTACAGAGCTGGAATAGTGGACTGGACTCAAACAGAACTAAAAGCAATGGATAGGAAGACCAGAAAAATAATGACAATGAATCATGCCCTTCATCCACGCAGTGACATTGACAGACTTTATCTACCAAGGCAAATAGGTGGGCGTGGAATGCTGCAAGTACATCAGATGGTTGAAGAAGAAAAAATGGCTTTGGAAGAATATCTGAAGAACAATGATGAAGATGCACTGAAATTAGTATATCAGGAAGGCTTACTAACTACTGGAGAGACCAAACTGGCCTTCAAGAAAGACCAAATGAAGAACAGAATAGAGGCCTGGGAAGACAAAGCACTACATGGCCAATACATGAAAAAAATAGCTGGTAAAGCAGATAATAATAAAACCTGGCAATGGCTAAGAGCAGGAAAATTGAAGAAAGAGACCGAGGGACTAATTCTGGCTGCACAAGACCAAGCCTTAAGGACAAATGCATACAAGTCAAAATTGAGAAGACAGCAACAGACAGTAAGTGCCGCCTATGCAAAGAAGCTGAAGAAACAGTGGACCACTTGGTAAGCTGTTGCAAGAAGATTGAACAGACTGATTACAAGCAGCGGCATGACAAAGTAGCAACAATGGTGCATTGGAAGATCTGCAAAAAATATCATTTGCCTGTAAGCAAAAACTGGTGGGATCATAAAATAAAGTCATAGAAAATGATAAAATTAAACTGCTCTGGGACTTCAGAATTCAAACAGACAAGCACCTGCAATATAACACCCCAGACTTAACAATTGTCGATAAGAAAGACAAAATTCTGGATAGTGGACGTGGCAGTGCCTGGAGATAGCAGAATAGAAGAGAAAGAACTGGAGAAGATAACAAAATACAAAGACCTACAAACAGAAATAGAAAGACTGTGGCAAAAGCAAGCAAGGGTAGTACCAATAGTAATAGGCTCCTTGGGTGCAATCCCAAAACAACTGGAGCACCATTTGAACACCATTGGTATTGACAAATTCACTATTAGTCAATTGCAAAAGGTGGCCTTACTAGGAACTGCTTCCATACTGCGACAATATCTTTAATACCATCAAACATCCACATCTGCCTATCCCAGGTCCTGGGTAAGCACTCGATAGGTAGACAAAATGCCAAATCCAGTCTGAACATCTGGCTGACTGTGCGATGATCCATAATAATAAAAATTACTTCCTTACTGACAGAATTCACCACCACAAAGAAATGTCCTCATGCTCGTGTCATTCGTCACATTCCCCATGTGCACATCCATGGTCAATGTCTGAATTCCCCCTTCTGCTGCTCAGTCCCCAGGAGGAATGTTCAACCCAATGTGGTGCTAAATCTATTTGTAAGGGGTTTGCTTGTTTGTTTGTTTGTTTGTTACATATATTTGCTGCCCCTCTTGCATCAAAGCAAGTCTGGGCAGCTGACAACATCAAAAAAGCAATTAAATCATAAAGGCTAAATATTTATAAAAACAATAAAAATAGGATTACAACCAAAAGTAAAGTTACAATTAAAAGATGGGAAGAAGCAGGATGTGTGAGGGAAGAAGGGATTATTCTTTTAATTCATCAACCACCTCCAGGATGATGCTCTGCCGTTGGGAGTATCTGTAGCTGGCAGAGCCAGGTCTTCAGGCCCTTATGGAAGGTTAGAAGACCGGGAGCCAATCTCACCTTCGGGGATAAGATCTTCCAAAGGGTAGGAGCCACAGCAGAGAAATTCATTCTCCTGGGTCTGGCCAACTGAGATTCCTTGACTGATGGGTTCTGCAGCATGCCTGTTCTGCTGGCATGGATGGGGCAGACCAATCGCAGTGGACTAAGAAGGTTTCATTAATTTACCTGGACCCATGCCATGCAGGTTATTAAAAGTAATAACCAACTCCTCCAAGGGCAAGATCTTCCCCCAGGCATCTCGCATGGACTGCACCATGCTTGGGTTTCCAACTGGGAACAAATACTAGCAACCTTATCCATCAGGTAGGAGTACACTCTGGGGACTTTAGATATACTTCTGGCGTAGGTGGAAAAAGATAAAAGGGGTGCTTGTTCAGATGGAAGAGCATTCAGAATAGCACAAATAAAAAAGGCTGCTTACCAGTCCATCCCCACCACCCAAAAAAGGAAACAAAAGATAACTATTGTCGTATTACTCATGACTTCTCCAACTACACCATCACTACCATCTTTAATGTAACATGTATGAATTCCTTCATTGTCCAGATATAGAATGTGTTCTTTCATACAACATGCAGTAATAGGCACCAAAAAGATGCATACATATTAAATCTTTTGAGAGATTGTTTTTCTTTCCCTTTTCAATATTGTTCCATATTCTCACAACCACAGTGTGGACCTTGTTTTGTGACTCACTTTTTTTATCACAATCATGAAACAAAATGCTAGACACTACCTATTTCCTGTTTACAACACAGTTTTTTCAGCAGTCCCAAGAAAGTTCCACATCCATTTGCAATCTGATTCGGGTATCTCTCAGGATACAGGTAAACCCCCAAGTGACCCCAATGATTCTCAGAGAGCTAATAGCTAGATGACTCAAAGAACATAAATCCTTCCATTCCCCACTATTCAGTTAGAACTGAAGAAGCTTCTTGGGTGAGAAATGAAATGTTTTCAAGGAAAAAAACAAAAATTCAGTTGCCTTTTGGAAAAG